AAATGCAGCCTTCAAGGCTGCAGCCTACACTGTTATAAACTTGCACCTTTTTTGCGAGGTATTTTAACTGTAAGCTGAGTCCTGCTCGCATTCAACTGTGGTTTACATTTTACATACACGGAACTCTGTTGTAATTCTTATTGTAAAATTCCAGTTAAAATAACTGGCAAAAGAGTTGCCAGTTGAATTAACTGGCAAAAAAGGTGCATGTTTATAACGGTGTATGCGTTGAGATGCACCCATTATCTAAAAGATATTTTTTTCTTCTATGATTACTGGGTATGGCAACCAGCTTAATTTCTTCATATCCCTCAGCTAAAGCTGAAAATAGCACTTTGATTCCTCAAATTTCCATTGAAAGCTCCGTAATATAAAAGCATAATGCCGGAGTAACTACAATGAAAAATGAAGACGGACTGGTAACGATGAAATCAGATTATGACTCGCAGTCAAGCAGATTCACTTTCTTTGGGTGTAAGTTCTGAGCAGGCACAGTGATTGTGACACAGCTCCTTTAAATTTGGCTCCCTGGGTCAATCTTTGTTCAAAGAGCTGATCATGTCTGCTCTGTGTGGAAGAAAGCCACATGCTGCTCCAGAACACACAGGCTCGGGTTATATGCGCATCAGGCATGTTGTGATGGCGATGTGTCAATAAGTCTGTGATTAGACACATTCCAAATGAAGCAATCGTGGGATATTTTTAGCATTCTGAAAAGGGGATGATGGGATTTGAAGTCTCAAATAGATCTGACCTCCAATGTATTGCATCACAATCTGAGTAAAACACTTAATGGCTCCATATCTGTAAGAAATATGGCTGCTATGATTGTTTTGGTTTTGTGAGCGAAGGTGGTTTGAGGAGATGCAGACAGCAGTCTGGAAACCAGGGTTCCCAGGTGTGTAGTAGTGGACCTTGTTAGTAGTTGGAATTTGGGGAGAAACCAGTAGCACTACTTTTGGGGGGCAGTTATGGCAGGCTTTTTGATCGCGGGTGATAGGGATGATGCGCTCTGGGATGTCCGGCTGCTTATGAGGAGCAGTGATGGTCAGCACGCTTTCAGCAGACAGGGAGGAAGTGAAGGTGCCTGGATCCAGCCCCACTGGCACTTTGTACCTCCTAAGGAACTCCCTCGACACAAGTCCATGGCTGTCCTGTGAAAAACAGACAACATAATGACAGGTTGAGCCACTTAGATGCTATATATTGGAATGGCCACTTGCATCATTTCAACACTGCATTTCAATACCACTGACAGTAAAACTGTAAGCCCTCCTAATCATGGAGTTAATGTGTATATGTTACAGTCAGATTGTGAAACCAGTCTCTTCATGAATGAATAAAAAAAATTTGTCATTTCATCAAATGACTGAAGTTTAGCACTAGCCATTTAATGAAATGACTGGTTTCACAATCCTGGCTGTAACATACATAAAATTTTTTTTCATTTCAAGGATGACAAATATACAGTAGAATCCAAAACAGTTCAAAGCAGGTAATAATCATAATCCCCTTTCTAGTATCTAATTTAAAATTCAGTTGAAAAACAAAAACACTACAATGATTCTAAAAATAACTCTTTAAATTATTCAGCACGGTAAAATATTTTCTTTCATTACCCTTTATTTCAAAATGTCTTTGCTGCATATCTTACAAGTTTGTTGAAGAAATATACTGTATAATATATTTCAGTTCATCTAAAGTTCTTGAGGTCCACAAGCACAATCACGATACCCCACTTGCAAACTCTATAGCCTACCCCAGTCCCAGTGAACTGAATAACACTGCAGATTGGCCGAACACCACAGGTTCCCCCCTGAATAATCTATTTTAGTCTATTTCTGCCATGTTTGCCTCCCAGTGAACATTTCTATCTCCCCATCTTTGTGTTGGGTTCGGTTCTTAGTTCTCCTTTGGTGGCTATGCCCAAGCAACACTCTGATGAAATTAGAACTACTGCAGAATATGATTATATTGACGATGCATAGATTAAGTGACTGGGAGATCTGAAATAAGGGAGTTGTTACCTGGCGATCTTCGTGTTTCCCATGAATCTCAATAAATCCTCCACTGATCTTGACTGAGAGCTCCTCAGGGGAAAAATTCTTGACATCCAGGTTGATTATGTGTCGGTCCTTCTCCATTCGCATCTAGCAGAGCATAAACAAAGGTACATAGCAGCTTTTCCCATCATCTAAAAGTTAAACAAACACCATACACTAATAAAATGGCTGGTTATTCTTGAGACATCCAGGCATTTATTCACTCCACAATGATCCTTCAGCCGTGCCAGTGGGAGTATGACCATGTGTGGCTTCAACAAAGCTGGCAGCCACATTTCCAGCCCCCTCAAAGGACTAAGGCTTCCAGGACCAGAGCGCTGGAGAGGTTAGTCATGTGTAATGAGTTACAGTGGGGCCGTAGGGCACATAAAACACTGAATCACACTATTTTAATAAAGGGAGTCACAGAGCATCATGACCACATGGCAACGTGTTTGAGCCTGAAATCAAATCTAGCGCCACATGGCATGATTTATCCTCTTCCATAAACAGCCTGTCTCGCAGGCCATGCATCTGCCTCACTTCCTCGAATAGTGTTCTTTCACCAGGCACCCTTTTCCTACTTGATTCAAAGACGAAGCATGCAAGCGAATTCACATATGTTAAATAAGGGCAGCAGCGTCACAGAAATGAATGCTGAACAGGATCATAGTCACTAAGACTGTAGCAGGAGAGCAGAGGGTTTAAGATATACTTTATTGAACCCAGTGGGGTAATTTGTTCTCTGCATTTGAGCAATCCTATTGTTAGGAGCAGTGGGCAGCCACAGAATATCGCCCGGGGACCAACTCCAGTTCTAAGCCAGTGGCTGAGTTCGAAACCGCTGTAGGTGCAACAGCTTAAAAGGGCATTACAATGGCTATTAAATGTAATTAATAACTAATAAATTAGTTAAATATTTATTAAGACTTAAATAATTAAAGTTCCTCGGGGCACCACCCTTCTAGTAAAGGGAAAATTAATAGCAATTGAATGACTAAGTCTCATAAATGTTTCACCATAAATGCCAAATTACTACGATCACAATTTATGTTATAAATGAATGATAACAATATTCAACAAAAATGGGAAAACCAGGCTAAGTTATCAATACGAAAATTCAATAGTAATATAATTACCATTAACATCTAGCACCAATAAACTAACCTTATGCTGAATATAAATGGAGCTCTTGACCTGGAAGAGGTTAGATTCAAGCTAATATTCAGGCAAAGACAACCAGAAGCACTTGTTAAAAATACATAAAAAGGTTTATTATGTCTCAGTAGCAATGAACATGCAATCAATACCACTTGAATACAACAATAAACACACAGGAAGGATTAAATAGCGGTTATATCATGAAAGAGCATATACAAATAGACTACATGTAGATTATGTGTGCGTGGGTGTATGCGTATGTGTGTGTGAGCAACTCTGAGTGCAAAAGGGAGGGGTTAAGATGGCAGACTTGAACTCAGATCTAAAATGGCGTCCCCGGATCTAAGAGGGCGGACTCAGATCTAAAATGGCGTCCCCGGATCTAAGAGGGCGGACTCAGATCTAAAAGGCGCGGATCTACAGATCAGAAAAATGGCGTCCCCTAAGAGATCTAAAATGGCGTGGATCTAAGAGGGCTCACAGATCTAAAATGGCCCCGGATCTGATGGATGATGATGCCTCTGAGAGACCCACGTGTGAGAGGGAGAACAAAGAACTGGGTGGCGCAGGCGGGAGAATTAGAAAAAGACTCCTGCACGAGTTGGGCCAGAGGCTGTGTTTCCCACTCAGTAAGCAGAGTGTAGTGTACAGAAACTAGCTGAAAAGAATATGCGAATGGAGAGAGAGTGAGAGTGGATGAGAGAGAGAAAGAGAGCAGGAAAGAAGGCGCAGGCGAAGTCTAATAGGACAGAGTAGCTCGCTGCGGCAGGCTGAACAATCAGTCAGACAAGCCAAAACGTCCCAATTCAGTTCAAACTTTCTCAACAATTCTTATGATTTACACCGAGCAAAGCAACGATGTAAAACAAAGCAATCCACGGTTTTAAATGAACTCTCTCAAAGATCAGATATTTAACAGGCCAGCGCAGCAATGTAGAGTAAATATCCGTGATTTCCAGACAAATTCTCTTTTGCATACCGAATTTTTACAATGAGTACAACAGTAAGATCCAGTACATTAAAACCAGCAAGCAAAGAAAACACAGCTCAAGGTATACAGTAATAATTACATTCACGCATCAACAATTAGCATAGAAATGCGCGTTTTATATTCTAGCTAAATCTGCCCAGATGCAAACTGCCTTACTTGGGATCACTACCGAGTGAGAGACCCAGTTCTCCAGCATCAGTGACGGTGTTCAAGTGAAGGCTAGGGCGGCGGTCCTTTGTTTCCTTAGGCTCGTCAGCAGACAGGAAATGGTGTCTGCTCCTCCAGGCACAATGATGCACGGGAAAAATGCAGAAAGTTTGTTGACTTGTTCTGTTTTTTGTGGTTTGCAGCCATTTTGACAGGCTTTGACCCTACACCGAGCACTAACATACTACTCGCACTACCGACGACGTCAGATTTAGGGGGTAGGGTGTTCACTTATGTGTGGGGAGTGAGTTTGTGTCCGCGAGAAGTTCCCGGATGTATACTAGATCAGGCAGATATTTTGTGGGTGCATCGTAAGCTCACTATTCAAACACAAATTGCCCAAGATGCAACGCGACGTAAAACGCCAGAAAAACTCGCTGAGGAATAAGAAGAAGAAGCAACAGGAAGAGTTCGGTCAAAACTTGTAGTGAGAATAGTGTATGTAGCACGTAGAGTGCAGTTTCAAACCCAACCAGTACCTTGGTCAGGGGTACTAGTAGGAGTGTTCCTATGATGTATGTTTTTGTGGTTGTAGGAAGCAGCAGTACCTGGACGAAACCCACACAAACACAGGGAGAACATGCAAACTCCACACAGAAAGGCCCCAGGTCAGATTCGAACCCACGAATTTCTTGCCACGAGGCGAAAGTGCTAACCACTATGCCATAGTGCCACCCAGCAGGAAGGTCATGGGCTTGAATCTCTGGGGTTGGGCCTTTCTGTGCGGTATTTTCCTTGCTTTCCTCCAGGTACTCCAGTACCCACCTATAGCCCAAAGACTTGTAGCTTCAGCCAAACCCACATGGAAAGAATCTATATGAACATATATGCACATATATGCAACCTATATGCCGCATATATGCCGCATATAGGCCAAATTCAGGTACATATATGTGCATATAGAGGGCATATAGGTGTCCTATATTGCTTCTTTATTTCCACATGTAGGCCCTATATGTACATACAAGTTATATGTCTCCTATATAGCTCATATACCCAGTGGCAGGTTCTGTTTGTCATACCTATTGTATAGCTCATATCTCACTTTTGCAACTGTCATACATGATGCCTAGCTCATATTTTTATTCTCAAGGTAATATCTGCATATTAGTCCAAAGTCCCTTACAGAAATAACAAGAATTTCACGCAATAACTTATTAATCGCATGTGAACACATGAAATTGGCATCACATTTGATCCTAAATACATGTTGACATGTGACAACGGCATGTAATGTGTAAACCAGTCATTATTAACTATGGCAAGTGAGAGGAGACAAAAAGCTATGATATCAACACAAATATCTAATACTATTTGTTCCATTTTTTTCCTGAAACATTAACAATAACAAGGTCATCAATTCTTTCTTGACCATACTTATTTCCATTCTATGAAGATTGAGTTGTATATTGTGGAAGAGAAGGAAATGTATAAAACAAAATAGTTTGATTATGTATATTTCATCAATTAAACATTTTTTTCAAGTTTAAGTCACTGCCAGATTCACCACATTAGATAAAATTGGATTCACATCATTACAGCTCATACACATCCACTGAAAGGTAATACACTACACTGTTACATCCACCAAATGCAATGTTTTCTATCTTGTCTGTAATGCAGTTTCTAAATGAATATGGCTCAGAGGTCCTTAGTCTAAATATAGCAAAATAAAACAAAAATAACAAAATAAAAGTACACAGAAGAACATACATTCAAGTAAACATGCCTTTCAAAAGTCATTTTCATCCCCACATCTATTTGAGCATTTCACTGTGGTTAATGAATTTGAAGACAAAGTCTACATTTCTGTTCACAGTTTTAATGAACAGACACTTGTCTTTTATGCTTGTATAGCAACTAAAGGTCCCAGACTTTTTCCTACAGGGATGAAATAACAAGGATTCTTAAATTCCCACAGGGAAAGAACCTATAGAAACATATAGGTTTTAATTCCTGCCTTGTATCAACCAGCAGTGGTCGGCAGCTCTTTTCAGAAGTAGCGCGCAATTGGCCAATGCGCTACAGGGATGCAAATTGCGAAGGGCCTGCTGGGAAGGGTTATGTAGATTAGAGTTTCCCTAGGCGCGTTCTGTTGGCAAGATGGGCGCTCATAAATAAAATTCTGATCACATAAGGAACTATTTGGCCTCTGCCCTTGTTCTGAACTTGCGGAATTCGCCCAGCAAATATATAAACAGCTATGGCTAACAGCTGCGGGTTGTGTACACTCTACTAAACTGTCTTCAGGGGGCTGCATGTGCGAATAAATCTAACAATTTGTACATAGTTCTCTAATTGGATATCCCCGCTTCGGGTGGGATTGGGAATGCTGAATAAAAAAAAACAACGTAGAAGGTATAATTGGCCATTTTCATATATTATAGGTATATATATGTACCTATAATATATGAAAACTGCCAATTTTATGTATGTCGCATATATGCGAAACCTATATGTGGCCCTATATTAAAACCTATAAGTTTATATAGGTTCTTTCAGTGTGGGAATGGAGACCCTAAATGATGTGTGAACAAATGATATATGTGCTCTTCAAAAAATTGTTGAACTGTCCAGGGTGTATTTCTGCATCGTGCTCACTGGATATTGGGACGAGCACCAGCTGTCTTGCGACCTGGACTAGGATTAAGTGGGATACATAACGTATGGATGGAAGACTGTAGTCAGAAGTCCAAGGCTCAACTGTTCAGTCAACAATATCCGAATATCCTGTTGGACAAATTCAACTGATCTGAGATACAGTGCTCAGATGTTACGCTACAATGCGTCATGGTACATAGATGCCCTTTTAAAGATTTTTTTTTTTTGCATTTTTGCTTTATTTGGCCAAATATAGCGGAGAGATACAGGAAGAATGGGACTCAGAGGGGGGATGACATGCAGCCCTTTTAAGGAACATCAATAAATGTATGAGCTATGAAAGAGTTCAGCCGACAACTGCAACATCAATAAAAATGCGATTTGTTAGAATGGCCGGTAGAATTACTTATGCATCCAGTACACAGACACTGCTACATCTTAACCCCTTTGCGTAGAACACAAAATTTTGCCAATTCTTCCTGTCACGCATGAGCCGATTTAAGCTTTATAACTCAGTATTTGTGTCACAGAGACTTTGGAAAATTATTCCAGTGATGCTAAATATTTCGAAATTCAATTACGGAATTGTTTAGGAATTAAATTTTGGAATTTACGGACGCCGGCGTCTACTTAACTTTCTCCATTACTGGGCGATATAATCCATCAACCTCCCATCAAAACAGGCAACCACTGGATGTGATCCACACGCACCATTCTGAGAGCTGGTGCTTCAACTGAGCACCAAGCATTGGAGTCCTGTTGAGCCCTCTCATGCATATTGCTTTCATTGCATCGTATTCCAGGGTGAGTCAGTGACATTGGTAGTGTCAGTAACACCAGCAGTTAAAAATAACCAGGGCTTACTATGTCCGGGCTTTAAATAATTGAAACAGCTGCACCTTGTTTTGTGTTGTAGACTGTGTGACTTTGAAAGAAGAATGTTAAAATATCAAGAAGCCATAACATTCGCACAGAAACACAGCAGTTTTTAGCAATGACAACACAACAGTGAAAACTTTTTTAAATGGAAAGGCACTAGGTTTTGAAAAATAAAGATAATAATGACATTTTTTTCCTGAATAAGCTCGGCTGATGATGGGTTGTGATGTTCGTTGATTCACTATGTAAGTCAGACTCAGCAGACCCTGTTACAATAAAGTGCTGCTACTGACTACACTGACTACATGGCTGTCAGATATGGGGAGCATATGCAGATCTTTAGAGGCTGAAAAATAATTTTGCAATCCTCATTTCTCACTGAATAATAAAGGCTCAAGAAAATATATGACTGTTTCTCATTGTACTCTAATTAGAACATGGCGGCACAGAAAAAGCAGGCACCTATGTGTACACATTCTCGACTGTTCATATCTTTTTTACCTCCGAATGTCCGCTGTCAACCCAGCAGGGCAGGCGAGGGAGGGGCCGGGGGTAGCAGAATGAGGGAAAGGGTGCATACAGCTCGGTGTTCGAAATACGCTCCCCGAAGTGCTGGTCAAAGATCCAGGGGGAAAAGTACGAGGGGAAGAAGGATCGGCGGAGCCAGGGGAGCTGGATGGGTAAGTCCATGGCGTTTGGCCCAAAATGGGAGTAAGAGGCTGTACCGCTACCTTGCAACAATAACGCAGCACCAGTCCTTCAAGCTTGCTGATATATACCCACCTCTCGAATGGTCTGCGCCAACCAGACACACTCCAACTGATCTTTCTGGAACAGAGATGTAAACTGTTTTTTTTTTTTTTTTTCCCCATCCTCGTGTCCCTCCCTCACCCTCCTCCTCCCTCGCATTCTCTCTTTGTCCCTCTGTGCTTAAATTGGTGCCCTGATGTCGCATAGTCACAGACCTCAGGATTATTTTCAGCGGTTTGGAATAGTGTTGATTATCGTCAACTCACCACCGCTGGAAACTTCTTTAACCCTTTGAGTGCCAAATAAATTTTCAAGGAATTAAAATTGTAATTATCCTGAGCTGTTGAAAACCTATCATGTGGCAACTCGTTTAAAACCCTTGCGGGAGCTCTTTTAAATGAGTTGCTACATGATGGGTTTTAAACAGCATCTGGTTTTGATATCTTTTGATATCTTACACCATTAGGCAACTATAGTTGCCTATGGCGCTCAAAGGGTTAATTAATCTGCATCTCTAATTTGCTTACCCACCCAACCCCCCACGGCCTTCTCACGCACTCTGTGCTTAGTCAGTGGAGACTAAGTGGGGCCATTTTGGGATGAAGATGGGGGTTGGTAGTTTGTCCACATCCAGGGGCTGAACTCTTGAGATGAGAGGAAAGTCTCGCTATAAGGCAATATGGGTTGTCTACTTTGCGATGCAGGTGGGCCAAAAAAACAAGTTTTTTTACTGAGTGAAACTACTTAAAAAGACCTGCTTCAGGCCCACCTGCATCATGAAGCAAACTACCCCTATCGCATCTTCCACCCATCTTAAGTTTGTCGAATGCCCTGTGTATATAGCACTTTATGGGCGGTAGTTTGGTCAATGCGCAGTTTCAAAATAACCCATTAGGAAAAATGAGTTTTGAACTGACACTTTTTTCTTTTTTTCCAGGCTCCCTAACCAACAACAGTTCAGTTCAATTCAGTTAGTTTATTCTCATTCAAACATGTTAAAAACAGGAAGGAACAAAATATATTACCCAGGTCCAGCAGCGTACAGAATAAATAACATCACGCAGTGTAAATAGCAAAGATCAATTCATCAATCAATCAATAGTTTATTGTCATTGCTATAAAATAACGAGGTAACATTAGAGCATCTCCAGACTTGGCATAGCCATAAGCGCGCAATGCAATAAATACATAGTATCCCAATAAAAAAAAAGATAGACCTATAATAATAAATAATTAAATAACCTAAGAGCCTACAATAAATCAAAACACATAGTGATATATAGAACATATAATAATAAATAGAACACAGAATAATAAATGGTACACATATCTAAAAAACCAAGCAGCATGTTAATAAATAAAGACTGCATCAATAACCGCATGAAGTCGCAACAGTACAGAGCGCAGACGACAGATTTAAAGCGAAGGAGTTCATAAACCTCA